TGCCTTCCTTTCGTCATATTTTTGTTATATGCAGGTTTATGTTATGTTGATTCTTTTATCATAAATCCTTGAGTTGCAGGTAGATGACAAGTATCAATACTCGTGTGAGAACAAAGATAATAAGGTTCATGGGTGGATATGCACCAATCCACCAGTTGGGTTCTGGCAGATCACGCCCAGTGATGAATTCCGATCTGGTGGACCTCACAAACAGAACCTAACCTCACATGTCGGCCCTACCACTCTTGCTGTATGTGATTATTTTTAGAATAGTAGTCATGAAAATTTATCGGTGGCCTGCTTATTAGAGATGTTAGTATAAATATGTCACGTCAGCTCTGATTATGACCCTTCTATTGGTGTCATCAGATGTTTCTGAGTGGTCATTATGCGGGACAAGATCTGGTGCCAAAATTTAGAGGTGGTGAACCATGGAAGAAGGTTTTTGGCCCTGTTTTTATCTATCTTAATTCTTCTGCAATTAAAGATGATCCATTTTGGCTATGGGAGGATGCTAAAATACAGGTTTGTCGTAAACAAAACACAAAAAAAAAACCTGTTTCTTCTTTCATTGTAAAAATGGACAATTTTGGAAAGCAAGCAATAATCAGAAAATGGTGATGCAAAATGATGTTCAGATGATGACAGAAGTACAAAGCTGGCCATATAGTTTCCCAGCTTCTGAGGATTTCCAAAAGTCGGATCAACGGGGTAATGTGAGTGGTAGACTACTTGTTTTGGACAGGTTGGTATGGAGATAAACTTGTGCGTACTGTTTGTGTATTTTTTGTTTTGTTTTTTTTTGGGGAGGCGGGGGTGTAGTTACTTATTTCTTTTTTGTGATAATTCTTGCAATCTGTTTGCCATTATCCGAGTTCTTTGTCTCAGTATGAATGTGGATGACGTGTGTGATATAAATATAAGGGTTATAAGTTTATATTCATATATGTTAACTTATTTTCTGAAAGTATTTGAAAAGAGAAGTTGATAATAAGCAATTAATTGATATGAGTGCATGAATCTCCAAGTATCAAATTGATGTTTCTCATTGCTAAAAAGAAAAAGAAAAAACTTATTGTTGTCAGGTACCTTTCTTTTAACTAAAAAAATTTCCCCACTATGCGTACATATGTTTAAAGTCTTTGTAATTGCGATGCCAGGTATATTTGTGAAGAACTCATACCTGCAAATGGTGCGTATGTTGGTCTGGCCCCACCAGGAGATGTAGGATCATGGCAAAGAGAATGCAAGGTGACTTTCCATTTTGGGATTCACAACACTTGCTGATAAGTTATATTCTATGTCAAAGAAAATTGATTTTTTCAATTGATAATTGTGTTAGTTGTCTAATAGGATATTCTAACACCAGCATTTTATGTTTACTATGGTGTGAAATTTTAGCATCACATGAACAATAACTATAGCTTGCCATCATTAAACGTCAGAGAGCACTCAGAAATTATCCTACATTTGTGTTTGTGTTAATTATAATCTGGACTTTTTCAGTCAACCTCGTGTCCAGCCATAGATTATTCAACCTGCAAGAGGTCAAGTTTTATTTACTTTCCCAGGATTTTTGTTTCTTGGCTTTCAAGGCTTAACTGGAAATAACAGAACTCATGGTTTCTGATGAGCATAACAAGATTAGCAATTCATTGTGATAAAGGTGTTGTAATCGATCTTTGTCTCTCATGTTTAAACATGGGCTTTTTTTTTGAATGGAAGACACCATAGTAGTGCATATAATCTTGTGTCAGCAAAATTTTGAAGTTATCTATTCTATGGAATACCCAAAAACTACTATATGAAGTAATCAGAATGGTAAGGAACCTTAATATATCATATACCAAAACACAATACGCATTCTATAAATTATGTCTAAACACACCCTTATGGATAGTTATTACATTTCTTAGGACTATCAATTCTGGACGAGGGCAGATGACCGTGGCTATTTTTCAATTAGCAACATACGTACTGGCACATATAATCTTTATGCATGGGTACCTGGTTTTATTGGAGATTATCGGTATGATGCTGTCATTAACATAACCTCAGGTAGTGTTTTCTCAACATCTGGGACTTTCTGAGTTCTGAAGTCAGTTGTTTTATAAATATTTTTTGATACAAGGGGAATTTTAATACAAAATTTTGTTTCATTACTTGTGATACAGGTTCTTTTATTGAAAGTGGTGATCTTGTGTTTGAACCTCCAAGAGATGGGCCAACATTGTGGGAAATAGGCATTCCGGATCGTTCTGCTGCAGAGTTTTATGTTCCTGATCCTGATGCAAATCATATTAACAAATTGTTTGTTAATCATCCTGACAGGTTAGCTATCTTATTGCAATTTCAGAACGTTGATTATAGTGTGATCAAAACTAGCATTCTCTTCTCTTAACATGCAAATGTAGAAACTTGTTTTGTATCATCTTAAATGTTGCTTTGCTACTTCTAAATGATTCACCAGCCAAATTAAGGACCCATGTTAATGATTAAGAGTTTGGTATTAATTTTTTTGATGTGAAACCTTGATCTTATCCTTCTGCAGGTTCAGACAGTATGGGCTGTGGAACAGATATGCTGAGTTATATCCTCATGAGGACTTGGTGTACATTGTTGGTGTTAGTGATTATGCTAAAGATTGGTTCTTTGCTCAGGTTCCCAGGTGCACTTCTTTTGGATAATGGCTGTTGTGAAAATTGTAATGTAATGACAATGGTACTGTGTTGTTGATTACCTGCTGCTTAAAGTTCTTGTGTACTGTAGGCAAAAAGAGAACGGACATGAAGGAACAACATGGCAAATTCGGTTTGAACTAAGAAATGTGGATCGGAACAGCACCTATAAGCTACGGGTGGCGATTGCATCTGCAACTCTTGCTGAATTGCAGGTAAGATAATGATCTATTCATTAGTAGGTTATAAATCATACTAATTTCTTTATCCGTTTCATTTTTGAGGTTCGGATTAACGATCCAAATTCGAGGCGACCTCTGTTTACAAGTGGATTGATAGGGAGGGATAACTCGGTTGCAAGACACGGAATTCATGGGATTTACTGGCTGTATAACGTGAATGTACCAGGCGCTCAGCTCGTTGACGGGACTAATACTTTCTTCTTCAAACAACCAAGGTGCACCAGTCCTTTCCAAGGACTCATGTATGATTATATTCGATTTGAAGGTCCCCCATCTTGTGGTTCGAGTTCATCTTAGTATGGAATTCATATGTTTGTATATAATAATGTATATGTACATATACATATACACAATTGAATCCTATTATATCTAATATGTATTTATAGTAGAACAAGAAAAGAAAAGAAAATGCTATCTAATATGTATTTATAGTAGAAAAAGAAAATAAAATGCTATGTTATACAATCAAATCTTTCTCTCTCTCTCTCTCTCTCTCTCTCTCATGGACCCTAGATCCCAATACTTGGAGACTAGTTTCACAACCAAATTATTTGTTGGTCTTTACTTCCTGTTTTTCTTTTAAGAAATACAGGAGAGAAATGTAGAGAGAGAAGAAAGAGTTGAAAAACATGTGCAGTGCCCACTTTGTTTGGCGTATACAATAATCTGTATGTATTGCCCACTGCCATAACTTAGACATCAATTTACTTGTTCTTTAAAACCCGAAGTAGTTGTTAGAATCAAAGTGGACATGGACCTGGACATGCGGCTTGACTTGCATTTTAGCCTAAGAAGGCTTTATTGGTTGCTCTGTTGTGGATTGACAATCCAGCCAAGTAATTCTAATTTTGGTCACCATTTGTCAACTTGATTGGCTGGATTTGGTTTATCAACAAGAAATAAATTGTAGTGGTCCCCGCTTGATCATGGATGGCAAAACTCATAGGTCATGATTTGCCATATATCAGCAAGATATGCTTTGTGTTCAGAAGTTTAATGTTGCCAGACTGTAAAAGTTCAATAGCAAGCAAGTGATGATGCAGATAATCTAAATTAACAATTTGATATTATAATATGTCAAATAATTTAACCATGGATGTATCAGTGGCGGATACAGAAATTTTCTAATGTAGTGGTCTGTTGACAATTACACTCCACTTTGTTAGACACTTGATGATAAAACAACCTCCACATCATCTTTATTTCAGACCTCCAGATTTTATGAGATGTAAAAGCTCAAAAATGTTGGAAGTTTTTCTTTTAATCCCAAAATCCTAACCTTATAAATTTTTTAACACCAAAAAGTACTCAAATAATAGCCAAGGTCTAGCCCAGTGGAAACATCAAGTGTCTCAAGTGTACTCAAATAACCTTAACTTGCAGACTAGTCTCAAGTTCGAGTTCTCATGTCAGCTTGACAGTGTGTGTAAAAAAACCCTCATTCCTTAATATCGCTTGTATAAAAGAAAAGTACACAAATATATAATATTTGCGGCTGGCCTGCGAAGCATAACGACTCTTGCACGCCTAACAAACAAAACAATGTGCCGACTAAGTAACGACATTACAGAAGAGAAAAATGGAAAAAGAAGAAGAAAAGGATTGCTTTCTTTCTACTCCAACAAACACTTTGTATATAATGCTGAATACAATTCTAATAAGCCTTTACATTTTGCCTTTGCAGCTTGCAGAGAGGTATGATTGAATGCAAAGCTTCTCTCAAAAATAGTCATCAAGCTCTCTTAGATAATCTTGCTTCTCTTTTTTTTTTTTTTCTCCCTACATTATTATTGTTTCTTTTGTTTTTTCTTTCAGAAATTCAATTGGAGTTCTGAAATTAGCAACCTCATCATGCCACCTATTGGGGTGAAATTACTCATTCAAGATCGCCATGTAAAAATTCAATTAATGTTCATACATACATACATACATACATACATACATACATACATACATATACATATATATATGTATGTATAATATTTATTAATTTGATAAAATCTGCATGTATGATTTATTTATTTTTAACTAGTTGGGTGGTTTAATTAATTAATGAGAATTTATATTATTATAAATGCAGGTGATGATGGATAATGGGATTGTCCAAGTGACATTATCAAACCCAGACGGAATAGTCACTGGAATTCGATTCAATGGCATCGATAACTTGCTGGAGATTCGTAATGAGGAAATTAACAGAGGGTATAGCATGACAAAATCAGTTACAACTTAGGAAAAAAAATTTGACATCTTTTATTTATTTATTTATTTATTTTGTAATGATTCATTGCTAATTTCGAATTAATGGAACATGTAGGTACTGGGACCTTGTTTGGAGTTCAGCCACTACTGGAACAACAGGAATATTTGATGTGTAAGTCCCAATATTGCTGCCCTATTTTTTAATTTTTTTTATAGTGTTTTTTTTAGTACAAGCGATTAGGGGAGGGGGAGTTTACATAAATATTCATGGGTGCCTGGGGGAACTGCAGCCCACATGAGTGGAGGTGGAAAACCTCAACTAAATGAGTTATACAGGAACATAGTATAATATAATTTTTATTATTATTTATTGTTTCTTGTTTTCACACTATTAATTTTGATGCAGGATCAAAGGAACAAGTTTTAGGGTTATAATGGAAAGTGAAGAACAAGTTGAGCTCTCTTTCACAAGAGCCTGGGATCCCTCCCAACAGGGCAAGCTCGTACCCTTAAATATTGATAAAAGGTCTTTGCTCAAATTAATGCCAACGTATCTTTATATCTCTTATTGAATATTACTTTGAAAATAATATGTTGATTAATTATTAATCACAAGTAGTAAATTATAGGTTCATTATGCTTCGAGGTTCCTCAGGCTTCTACTCCTACGCCATTTACGAGCACTTGAGGGAATGGCCTGGTTTCGAGCTTGGAGAAACCAGAATTGCGTTCAAACTCAGAAAAGACAAGTACGCAAATCCCTTCAAATTGAGAAGAATTTAAAACCAAAAACAAAAACCTTTCATGATAGCCTGCCCTTTCTTAAAACTTTACTTGGGGTGATTTGGAAAATATGGTTGAAAATATAGTAAGTTTCACTTCATAAATCCAACGTCTACCTTATAAATCTTTTTGGCTTTCAAAAACACAAAAAAAAAAAAAAAAAAACACATACAGGAGTCTTGGGATGTCAAACACGCCGAGAAACCGTATTTGTGGATTTTGAAAAGAAAACAATTGTGTGGGATATTTCTGTCACGTGACAGTGTTGAGTGGTAGAACAACTTAGTTAAAAGATCACATATAACTAAAGTAAATACAAATAATTTATATATATATATATATATATTTTAAAGTGAATTGTTGTGCCATTGATCAATACTGTCACGCATCAAGAACATCCTCATACAAAATTTTCATTAAACTTTGTGCATACTTTAAGCAAATATGAACAATTTAGTCAGGTACAATGCTTTAGATCCCTGTCTTTTATGTGGTGGAACCCATGATGTATGTGGATTTTTGGACAAGTAGGTTTCACTACATGGCCATGGCAGACAATAGGCAAAGAAACATGCCATTGCCTGATGACCGTTTACCGTCGAGAGGCCAAGCCCTAGCCTTCCCAGAGGCAGTTCTTCTTGTCAATCCTGTGGAGCCAGAGTTCAAAGGAGAAGTAATTAATATTTCCTCTCTCATCAAGAAATCATATATGAATCTCTGCATATAATAAGAACAATCTTATCTAACTAATTGCCCTGGATGCTACTTAATCAGGTGGATGACAAGTACCAATACTCATGCGACAACAAGGATAATAAAGTACATGGGTGGATATGCACTGAGCCACCAGTAGGGTTCTGGCAAATTACACCAAGCAATGAGTTCCGATCTGGTGGACCCTTTAAACAGAACCTTACCTCCCATGTTGGCCCCACCACCCTTGCTGTAAGTTGACTTCTAATCCCGTTTGAGACTGCTTTCTTCTACTTATAAGCACTATTTTTACAAGTGTTTCTACTAGAAGAAAATCAAAAAATTTATTACAAGTCATAGTCTTTCCAAAAAATGAACTTGAAATTGATTTCTGTTAAAGAAGCTTAAGAGCTCGTTTGGGACTGCTTCTCTAGGAAGTACTTCTGCCCATAAGCGCGTCTTGGGATGTCAAACACGCCGAGAAACCGTATTTGTGGATTTTGAAAAGAAAACAATTGTGTGGGATATTTCTGTCACGTGACAGTGTTGAGTGGTAGAACAACTTAGTTAAAAGATCACATATAACTAAAGTAAATACAAATAATTTATATATATATATATATATATTTTAAAGTGAATTGTTGTGCCATTGATCAATACTGTCACGCATCAAGAACATCCTCATACAAAATTTTCATTAAACTTTGTGCATACTTTAAGCAAATATGAACAATTTAGTCAGGTACAATGCTTTAGATCCCTGTCTTTTATGTGGTGGAACCCATGATGTATGTGGATTTTTGGACAAGTAGGTTTCACTACATGGCCATGGCAGACAATAGGCAAAGAAACATGCCATTGCCTGATGACCGTTTACCGTCGAGAGGCCAAGCCCTAGCCTTCCCAGAGGCAGTTCTTCTTGTCAATCCTGTGGAGCCAGAGTTCAAAGGAGAAGTAATTAATATTTCCTCTCTCATCAAGAAATCATATATGAATCTCTGCATATAATAAGAACAATCTTATCTAACTAATTGCCCTGGATGCTACTTAATCAGGTGGATGACAAGTACCAATACTCATGCGACAACAAGGATAATAAAGTACATGGGTGGATATGCACTGAGCCACCAGTAGGGTTCTGGCAAATTACACCAAGCAATGAGTTCCGATCTGGTGGACCCTTTAAACAGAACCTTACCTCCCATGTTGGCCCCACCACCCTTGCTGTAAGTTGACTTCTAATCCCGTTTGAGACTGCTTTCTTCTACTTATAAGCACTATTTTTACAAGTGTTTCTACTAGAAGAAAATCAAAAAATTTATTACAAGTCATAGTCTTTCCAAAAAATGAACTTGAAATTGATTTCTGTTAAAGAAGCTTAAGAGCTCGTTTGGGACTGCTTCTCTAGGAAGTACTTCTGCCCATAAGCGCTTCTAACAAAAGTGCTTTTATTATAAAAATTTAGAATTTTCATAAAAAATTAAAGTGCTTCGTGGAAAAGCACTTGGGAGTGCTTTCTGAAGAAGCACATAGCAAGTGCTTCTCCAGGAAGCGCTTCTATGACCAGAAGCGCTTCTAAACTTTTCTGCCAAACGCTGTCAGAATCGCTTTTAGTTATCAGAAAGCGCTTTTACCTTTTGCAGAAATAGTGCCAAACAAACCAAGTGTAATATTATCCCACATTGAAAAAGTAAAATCTTGATCCATTACTAGTTTATTTTTTGGATTAAATGTTCTAATTCTATCAATTTAGTATACAGAAGTTTTAACCTATTGTTCAAACATGAATGATACAATCAGATGTTTCTAAGCGCTCATTATTCTGGAGAGGATTTGGTGCCAAAATTTGCAGCGGGTGAGCAATGGAAGAAAGTTTTTGGGCCAGTTTTTATGTATGCTAATTCTGCATATGAAGGAGATGATCCGCTTTCGTTATGGGAGGATGCTAAATCACAGGTTTTTAACAGATTGCTAATTAATAACCACATTTTCTTTAATTTAATTTCTTGCAAAGTATGTAGGTATGCTTTATCATAGATGGTGACCATATACGTATGCATCTAACTTTACTTCTGTTGCAGATGATGATGGAAGTCCAATGCTGGCCCTACAGTTTCCCAGCATCTGAGGATTTTCCCAAGTCACACCAACGGGGTAGTGTTAGTGGTAGACTACTTATTCGAGACAGGTAAGCGTATACAATGGCGGAGCAAGCTTTCAATTTTTTTTATACGGAAAACTATACAGATTTATTATTTTCAATATTACAGAAGTTCAATATGAACTTTAGTAAAACAAATTTCTCAAATTCTAGAGGGAATAGAGTTCTTTTATTTCTTTTATATTTTCAAACTAATTATAAGTATATCAATGTTATTTTGATGTCAATATCTAGATATATCAGCGATGACTACATATCAGCCCAGGGTGCATATGTTGGGTTAGCCCCGCAAGGAGACGTTGGATCGTGGCAAAGAGAATGCAAGGTGACTGAAACGTTTTTAAGTGGGTGGACTAAATTATTTTGTTGCGGTTGCATTGTGCTTGGTGTTAAGTTTTTATACCTGCGTGTTTATATAGAAATATTTTCTTCTTGCGAAACAGTTTGACGTGTTATATATGTATACGCTAGTTAGTAGATTTTCAATTAGAACTGAGAGAAATGTCATAACTCGGCCTATATGTTCTATTCACTTCTTATTAGAACTATCAATTCTGGACGACAGCAGACGAGAATGGCTACTTTCTCATCGACGGCATATGCACTGGCGATTATAATCTTAATGCAACGGTCCCTGGTTTTATCGGAGATTATCAATACGATGTCGTTCTCACTATAACCTCAGGTCCAACTTCTTTAAATGATAATTTCTGTAGTTTTCGTTTTGATTTTCAGTTTGCGTATCCACCAAAATATTGAAAAAAAATGAGCAATGCACAAAGAAATGTGGAATGAATACATTTATATCTTACATACAAAACTAATTGGAAACAAATGCAGGTTGTGAGGTTGAGATGGGTGATCTTGTG